GAAAGAGCAAAGCCACATGAGGGCCCCTGCAGTGAGGGGTGCGCCTGGGCAACTGGGCAGGGAAGGAGCGAGTCTCTGAGATGGATGGACAAGCACACACGCCCAGGGTATGGCCTCCAGGACTCCTGGGGCCTCAGCCACCTGCAGGGAGTGGGAGCAGCTTCAGTCCCACACAAAAGTGCTTTGAAGCCACTGGGGGCCCAAGAGGCCTTGTTTAATGGGGACTGGGCTCCATGGTGCCCAGGTGTCCAAGCTCCAAGTCCGGAGCAGGAGAGCAGAACCATCTGGGAGTTCTGGGGCAGAGGGTGCCCGGGAAAGCCCTCTTTGACTTGGCAGATTTCTGACGGGGGTGGGAGAGCTGAGACCCCTGTACAGGGGCAGATGTCAGGGCCGCCCCAGAAAGCAGTCGCTCTGGCTGCCAGGTGCCCCCGCTCCCTCCTGTCCGTGCCCTTCCCTTACCATCCCTCTCTCCAGGGGAAGGAGGGAAGCCCCCTGACTTACTCCCTCACCCACCAGCGCCCTCTTGCTGCCTTCTGGCCCACCTCCCACCTGGGGTCCCAGCCCGTCACCTCCACAGGACCCTCCCTCACTGCTACCCAGCCCCCAGACTCCCCAGTCCCACTATGGCATCAACATATGCAATCTCCTCTGCCAGGGGGCCAGACCCCTCGCTCTGTCATCTCCCACCCATCCACGCTGGCAGCCCAGAGTTCCACGGCCCTGGCACCTGCACGGCCTCCCAGTCCCCCCTGGGGCAGCCGCACTGGGCAGGGAGTGGGGCCCCATCAGCCTGGGTGAGCTTTAGGTTCAGCTCTGTGCCACCCTGGCGACCAGTCCTCCCTGCCTCATGGGAAGGTGGCTCCATGGCCAGGGAGAAGGCTGCGCTGCAGAGCGGCTATGAGGATACCAGGGCCCGCGACCTGCAGGAGGGAAGTGGAGGCTCCCCCAAGTACTGGCCCCCAGCCCTCGCCCTGGGGGCCCCAGCAGGCGAGGGTGGGCTCGGACAGAACCATCCTAAGCGTCCATCGGGCTCTTCTCAATGGCCACCCGCCCGGAAGGCCCACACACCCGGGCTGCGCTGCCCTCGACAAGTCACCCGGTTCTGCCATTGTTGGGGCCATCCTGGCAGCTGGGGGAGGCCTTCAGGGCCTCCCCTGGAAAGCTCATGGAACCCCCCCGAAGACCACAACCTGGCTCACTGCCACCAAGACTCACCTGAGGAGCTGGGGCCCCTGGGGCAGCATCTGCAGCCAGATCACACACTGGCCCCCATGGCCATCCAGGGTGGCGACCACCCTCCGTGTCTGCAGGCTCCAGATGTGCACCAGCCCACGCAGGGACCTGTTCAGAGAAGCTCCAGTCAGGCTCGGGCATGGGGGGGAGCGGGCTGGACACCACACAGCCGGTGGGTCAGGTGCTCCAGCCAGCAGCTCCCAGCTCAGGGAACAGCTCTGAACACACAACCAGGGGACATGTGCTCCTCTTACAGGGAGGGTGGCAGGGCCCTGGGCAGCCTCTTCTCTGGAGAGGCGGGGAGGCTGCCACTGACAGTGCCAGCTGCCTGGCGCCTCTAACGGAGACCATGTCCCTGCGTCCTCCACGGGGGAGGCCCGAGGGGACAGTGCGTCGAGGGCTCTGAAAGGGCGAGTGCCCGGGTGATGGGCAGCCTGAGCCCCTTACCCCCCGACTTCACCCTGGGCCAGGGGTACTCACCCTGAGAGGAGCAGCGGGCGCCCCTGCCCCTGGGCTCCTTTGCAGAAATGCAGTGTGTGCACTGCTGACTGGGCGCCTCGGAGGACAAACTGAGGGTCTGGTGGTGGGAGCGGTGGGGTTGCCATGCTTATCACCTGGGGACCGAGGAAGGGCGTCAATCACTCACCTGTCCTCCTTCGGGAAGGCACAGGATGCTGCGCACCCCTGCACCCTCTGTCCCAACAGGTACTGTTCCCAGGCAAGGGCAGCAGTGCCCACACCCCCCACCAACTTGGGCAGGGTCCTCCTCGTCCCAGCTGTCCACACACTGGCAGCACTCCTGTCCTCTAACCAGGCCTCGCTCCAGCTTCTCCCTCAGGGGGCCCTCCCCAACGAGCCCTCCCAGCCAAGTCAGAGGTGTATGGGGTCCCGGTCTTCGTCACATGGGCTGCAAACACGGCCCGCCGGGTCCCGGTCCTGCTCATCACAACCTCCAACTGTTACAGCCACCCAAGGAACCGTCCGGTGAGCTGCTCTAGGCCTCCCAGGCTCAGGTTCGAAGTGTTCCAGAGCCTGCACGCTGCCACCAAGGGGCAGAAGGGCCGGCACAGGTGTGTGTGGGCAAGGGGCGGGGCCCAGTTACACAGCCACTCCCCTGGAGGGCTGCTCTCAGAGGACAGACCCTTCCTCAAATCACTGGTCCTGTGTGTAAGGCCTGCTGGGCCCACCTACCCCAAAGGAGAAGCTGCCAGGGTCCCCCCGGAGCCCACCCCAACCACACCACCCCAATTTCACAGGCAGCCAGGGCCACGTATGTCTGCCCGCAGGCCCTGGGCTGGGCCGAGGGTGCAGAGGGTACGGCTAGGAGCAGACCCCCCGGGAGCTGGGGCAGCTGGGGGGGCCTCTCCTGCTGAGCTCTGGGACAGTCCCCACCCAGCCTGCACACAGCAAGGGGGAGGCGCCCACACAGCTGCCAGAGGGGGGAAGTGAAAGGGCTGGAGTGGGCCGTCGGGAAGGGGCTCCGGGGACAGAGGGACAGGCCACCCCCACACAGGCTCCCACCGTGCAGCCCCTCAACACACACACACACACGTGCTCACACAGGCGCACGCGCGCGCGCACACACACACACACATACACACACACGCAGGCAGCACGGTGGCCCTGGGCAGCGCCAGCAGAAACCCAGCCCACACCTGCCACCTGCCTGCGGCCTGACGGGCGTTTCCAGAACCTCACCGCACCAGGCTAGCTCCCAGGTGATGAAATCAAGTCCTCCTCCACTGTTTTCCCGGGACGTAGGGAATGAACCCGTCAAGTTGTTACAACAGCCGGACACTCAGGCCAAGACGAAGCCTCGGCAATTAAGGGCTCCATCATTTCAAGCAATTAAAGTAAACACTTTATTTGAAAACTAATTAATTCTAGCTACATATTTTTCCCATGACAATACTCTATGATGACTTGATTTATGATGTCTAATTATTCTTTATTAATCTAATTGAGAATAATCGTATTATCCTATCTCCTGGCACCAGGCCGCCCGGAGCGGTGAGCACGATGGCCGCCCACCAGCCTTGCCCCCCGCCGGCCTTGCCCCCACCTCCACTGGCCTGTCATTCTCCCCCCACCCAGAGGGCAAAGGAGCCTGAAACTTAATCCATGGAGCACAACTTTGGGTTCTGCAAGACACATTCCTTTAAAAATTAAAAAGAGAGACAGTCTGACAGCCTTTCCACCATTGCTACAAATGCCCCCAGAGCTCCCCAGGCCCGGCCCACAGACAGAGAACAGCCACAGGCTTACTCCTGTGGAGGGGGGACCCGGCCTCCCCACTACCCTGGTGTGGGAGCAGAGTGCAGTGTGGGCAGGGCCACAGAGCCTGCAGCTGGCCCTGCCCTAGGGCACCTGCTGCCCTAGGGACCTGGAGTCCCAGGTCCACGAGGGACAAAGTTTGAGCCCTCTGGAGGTGGGTAATCTCGAAGGAGTATCCCCTACAGATGAGGTCCCCAGGGCCATGGGCTCAGTATTAGGCTGAACCAGAACCAAAGCTGTGCTCGGAGATTCTAGAACGTCACCGCCCTCAGCTCTCAGCCCCGAATCACACCACCTTGGGGCCCCCCAACTGCAGTCTGTGCATCTCTCAGAAGGACCCCTTCAACCCAGGCCTCAGTGAATTCACAGGAAAAACCCTAAGAAATGCCGGCTCCCAGCCAACACTCGTAAAAGCAGACAAGGAGGCCCAGCCCTGCGAGGACCAGGAGCACCAGAAACCGCAGGCACAGACCTGGACCCGAGCAGAGCATTCAGGTCTGTGACATATAATGCTTCACGGCTTTAAAGAAATAAAAAGATGGAACTGAATGTACAAGGAGAGAGCATCACCTCTCAGATCCGGAAAATGACCCAACTGGGGAAAAGCTATTGGGAGCAGGAGATCTGCTGTGCCTACAGGTCGTTTATGAATCACAGAGGAAATGCTCCTTCATGAGGGGACACCGGGCTGTCACCACCGGCACTGTCCTTGAAGCGGGCCACCCGCAGTAAACAGCCTGCATCGCTCACCTCCCGAGGGCCCATCGCCGTCCACCTATGCCAGCAACGTTTGGGAACCTCCAGACATACCCACCAGGGGCCCAGACAGGACACCCAGCTCAGACTCATGGCAAAGGTCAAGGTCAAGAGAAACAGTGAGAGAAACAGCAGGGTGACTCTTCTAAATTCAGAGACTAAAGAGCACGTCGACCAAATGCAACGTGTGAACCTTGATTAGATCCTGATCAGAAACGGGGGCCACAACTGGGGGAATCTGAATACAGGCTGCAGATAATATAGAATTAGTATTGCTATGTTTCTTGGGGAAAACAATGGTATTTTATGTAGAAAAGTATCCTTATTCCTAGGATACAGTATTTTAGGGATGAAATGTTATGTCTGTAATCTGTTTTCAAACGTTTCAGAAAAAAACCCCTCGACATGTGTCTAGCTACATACAAGTACACAGGCAGAGAAGTAAAGCAAATGTGGCAAAATGCCCGCCATCAGTGAACACAGTACTCACTACTCCACACTTGCCACAAACCCACACGGGACTTGTATCCAGAATAGATAAAGACACAGATCGATAACATAAAGAAGCAAACACCAAATGTTAAATGAGCAAAAGACTTGAACAGATGTTTCACAAGAAACATAAATACCCAACAAACATAGGAAGAGATGTTTAACCTAATTAATAATCTTGGAAATGCCTGTTCAACGCTAGTGTGAAATAACTGCACTCCTAGCAGATTAGCCAAAAATTAAACAGCCTGGCAAATGCTGACCAAGATGTGGGGCAACTGGAGCCGTGTACCACGTTGGAGGGGCCTATGTGGAACCAATCACCACAGAAAACAATCAGGGACCACCTGGCATGCCCTATGACCCAGCAACCCCACGCTTAAACACCCTAAAGAAACTTGCACACTTGCACACAAAGACTTGTACAAGAGTGTTCATAGCAGTATTGTGCATAATAATAAAAACCAGAAACAACCCAAATAACCATCAACTGCAGAATGGGATGCTTCTGGCACATTCATATGACAGAATACTCCACAGAACTGAAAATGAATAAACTCCAGTGTCACACAGAAGAACTTCAAAATCATGATTTTCTTCGAAAGACATTAAGGAAGTAAAAAATGAGGCTAGAAACAAGGATAAAATAGTTGCAACATATATCTGATAAAGGACTCATACTCAGAATATGTGTCAATAAGAGAAACAAGTTAAAGTGATTCCAGAAGGCTGAAATTAAAGATAGACAAAGGTATTTCAGGCAAACGGAAACAGTAAGAAAACAGGAGTTGAAACACTGACATCAAAGTTTAATTCTAGGGACTTCCCTGGGGTGCAGTGGTTAAGAATCCATGTGCCAATGCAGGGGACACAGGTTCGAGCCTTGGTCTGGGAAGATCCCACATACCATGGAGCAACTAAGCTCGTGCACCACAACTACTGAAGCCCGCCCGCCTACAGCCCGTGCTCCGCAACAAGAGAAGCCACCGCAATGAGAAGCCCACGCGCTGCAACAAAGAGTAGCCCCCACTCGCCGCAACTGGAGAAATCCCACATGCAGCAACAAAGACCCAACATAGCCAAAATTAAATTAATTAATTTTAAAAAAAGTTTAATTCTAGCCAAAAATGCATCAGATTTGACAAAGCCAGACACTTTCTAATACTAAGCTGCAGTTCACAATGAATGTATGAACATCTATGTATGAACATCTATGTACTAAGTAACAGAAACAACACGTTTATAAAGCACAAACTACAGGAGATGCAAAGAGGCACAGAAAAAAACACACTAATAACTGGAGAATGTAATATACTACCGTCAGTACAAGTCAGACCAAGTGACAAAATAAGTAAGGAGACAGAAGACTCAACAAGGTAAACAGTATGCAACTGTAGGGAACTCCACACTCTGACAACAGACACTACACCTTCTCCTCAAGGGCACATGAAGGCATTCTCTGTGATCATATACTGCGTCACAAAGGAAACATCAGTAAGTTCCGCAAAGAAGAAATATTAACATTATAAACAATATTCTATGATCACAGTGCAATTAAACCAAAAAATTAACAAAATAAAAACCAAAAAGATCTTTCCAACTAAAAATTTTTAAAAATTTATTAAATGACTTCTAGGTAAAAGGGGAAATACTTAAACCACGAATTTTTTAAAATGACAAAACAACATTACATACCAAGATTCATCAGATATATTTAAAGCTTTGGTGAGAAGAAAAATAGAGATTGATATCACATCATACAAAAATAGCAAATAAAATATTAGTAAACAAAATACAACATCAAATTAAGAACATAATACATGCTGACCAAGTGGAATTTATCCTAGAATGCAAAGTTGGTTCAATTAGGAAATCCATTAATGTCATACATCATATTAATAGATTTATGAAGAAAAAGCATATGATTATCTCCATAGATGCTGATAAAGCCTCTGACAACATTCAGTACCCTTTTTTTTTTTTTTTTTTTTTTGGGGTAGGACGCGCAGGCTCAGCGGCCATGGCTCATGGGCCCAGCCACTCCACGGCATGTGGGATCTTCCCGGACCCGGGCACGAACCCG